TACGAATCCAGGATTCGGGAAAAGGTGGAGTTGTATCCGGGATCATGTCCTTGGTGGAAATGACGACCAACCGCTCTATCCACCCACAATCATTGTCGTTATCCATGCTGGTGAGCAAAGTATGGTGGCCACATTTGCTGAAATTTATTACTCCCCCACGAAAAATCTTAGGGGAGTAAAGGTTCATCATACGAGCTAAGGTGAGGTCCGCCTTCGTTTCATGGCATTGTCTTCGTAGACAGGCCATCGTTCGCCATACCGAAGGGTCTAGCTGTGCCAAACAAACCTGGTATCTGTGGCACAGCTCCAAAATCACGGGGTCAAGTCCCCCGCTCAAAGAAAATATACCCAAAGTGAATGGGTACGTGCAAACATACGTGAAGCCATTCTTAGTGAAGGTTACTCCCTCCACCAGATCGGGAGCAATGATGTTCAAGTCGTGGCAATCACAGTCCTCCTTTACAGCAGGAATGCTGGAAGGGCGAATAGAAGAAGGGTACTTGCCAACAACCCAAGTGCGAGAGTTTGAAGAAAGAAACTTTTCTTCGAAGTCCTTGGCTGTGTTGAGATGTTTGGGGATGATGATGCTCAACATGGGAGGGTCAGCATCAACATCAATTTCTTTGTCTTTGATTTTCTTCAGGCCCCCAATGAAGAGAAGACCGAAGTTCTTGGAAGAATTAGTGAAAGAAGCCATGATCAGCAGAAGGTGATAAGAGTTCTTTGAAGAAAATTAAAGAAAGACGAAAGCAGAAAAGAATTGAATGCAAAGAAGTTGAGAGATTTTGTGAAACTGTTAAGTTTAAAAGAAGAAGAATGAGACGTATAAATAAAAGAATATGCGGCTAAAATCGTGGCCATGATTACCTCGAGAACTAGCGAAGATATTGCTAAATCGTGGAGTAACACGTGTTTGAGGTATTAAATACGAAGAGATGTGCGCCTTATCAAGCGTCAGAAACTTTTCAGAAGGGTTCAGAATATTTCCCGCCAAGAAATGAATCTTCACCAACTTCCTAGTGACACAAAGATGTGCCACCGGAAAGCAGGGGGACTATCTGTATAGGGTAAAATCGGTTCACATTAAATACTCGAATGACAGAGTGACACGTGGAACCGGGAGGGGGGTGGGGGGAGATAGAAGATGAAGCGAGTGGAAACCAAGATCGAGGATAACAACTTCCGTTGATATCGGGTAGACCCTGAACGGAACATTATCAACGAGAGCAAACAAATATTTGTCACCAGATGACATTCAATGTAGAATATTCCTTAGTATTAAATGTGCATCCGTTATAGAGAATTTTAGCATTTATGACCTGCCGTTACATATTCATCAATGGCACTCATTATTGTCATTTAAGAGGGGCTTGATCCTACGACCTTATTCCCTAGGTATAGCTATAAATAGCGACTTCAACGACCATTGTAAGATAGGAAAAAGTCTAACAAACTTGTGCTATACATTATCTCAAGTCGAATAATACTTTATTTTCTGTCTAAAGTTATTCTATTTGCTACCTTCGAAAGCCTTGCTCCCGGAACCAAGTTGTCTGCTATTTTATCTCGATTTCAACGCTAAATCTTGCATTTTATTTAATTTCTTTATCATTTTGGGATCAAATCGATTCGCTTGTGTATAAACCACGCTATAGATTTAACTGTACTATTTTGCGAATAAACAAATATGTATCCAAAAAGTTAGAGCTAATATTTTATAACTTCATTATCTTATTATATTAAAAGGAGAGTAGTGAAGCATGTGGTTAAGCCAAGTGGCATAATCACAAAAAGCCAAGTGTCATTGTTAAGACAAAATAAACTACCTTTTTAACTAAAAACTTTTTAAAATTTTGAATTAATTAGTTACTCTTTTTGAATTAATAAATATAAATATATTATTATTAGCTATATTAAAAAACAAAAATATAAAAAAAATTAACTACCCATTCAAATTGGGGAATAGTTTATATATTTATATATTATATTAAAAGGAGAGTAGTAAAGCATGTGGTTAAGCCAAGTGGCATAATCACAAAAAGCCAAGTGTCATTGTTAAGACAAAATAAACTACCTTTTTAACTAAAAAACTTTTTAAAATTTTGAATTAATTAGTTACTCTTTCTGAATTAATAAATATAAATATATTACAATTAGCTATATTAAAAAACGAAAATATAAAAAAAATAACTACCCATTCAAATTGGGGAGTAGTTTATAGTTGGTGTTTCAAAGTTATTTTAAAATAAAAAAAATGAAAAATAATAAAAAATTAAATTAGCTACAATAAAAAAAATGCAAAAAATTAATTATTGTCTTACCTTTTTAACCAAAAAACTTTTTTAAATTTTGAATTAATTAGTTACTCTTTTTGAATTAATAAATATAAATATATTATAATTAGCTATATTAAAAAACGAAAATATAAAAAAAAAAAAAACTACCCATAATCACAAAAAGCCAAGTGGCATAATCACAAAAAGCCAAGTGTCATTGTTAAGACAAAATAAACTACCTTTTTAACTAAAAAACTTTTTAAAATTTTGAATTAATTAGTTACTCTTTTTGAATTAATAAATATAAATATATTATAATTAGCTATATTAAAAAACGAAAATATAATAAAAAACAACTACCCATTTAAATTGGGGAGTAGTTTATAGTTGGTGTTTCAAAGTTATTTTAAAATAAAAAAATGAAAAATAATAAAAAATTAAATTAGCTACAATAAAAAAACGCAAAAAATTAATTAAAAAAAACCTACCTATTCAAGTTGGGGAATAGTTTCAATTTCGAGTTTTAAAATTATTTTAAAATAAAAAACTAAAATAAAGAAATAAAAAATTGCCAATTCAAATTGGGGTATGGTTTCAATTTGGAGTTTTAAAATTATTTTAAAATAAAAAATGGAAATAATAAAATAAAAATTGCCAATTTAAATTGTCTGTCTTATCTTAATTAATAAATTTTAAAAAAAACAAATAAATTAAAAGATAAAAACAACACCTTTGTCTTAATTAATTATAAAGATAATAATATAGGTATTATAGAAAATATGATAAATTTATACATTAATAGGAACAATAGAATAAAAGAATAAAAGTAAATAAAAAATTTTACTACAAGAAAAAAAAACATATTTTTACTTATAATGTATTATAATGGAAGTAACAGACAAGAATATATTAATTTTAAGTTATGGGTAATTGTAACGACCCGACCCGTCGTTACGGGAGTTACCGCCCCGTTTTCCCCGTTTTATGCTTCTATATGTTTCATTATACGTGTTTGGAGAAATTGAAGTAATTCGGATAGAGTTTGGTTAGAAATGAGACAATAAGTCTCTTTAGGATAAGGTTAGTTTGGAAAAGTCAACCGAAATTTGACTTATGAGTTAGAAGGCTCGGAATGGATTTCCGATGATTCGACTAGTTTCGGGGGATGATTTGTGACTTAGGAGCGCAATCGGAATTGAATTTGGAGGTCCGGTGTAGAATTAGGCTTGAATTGGCTAAGGTTGGATTTTGGTGAATTCCGGATGGTAGGTGAGATTTTGATCCGAGGGTCGGAATAGAATTCCGACAGTTGCAGTAGCTCCGTTAGGTGATTTTGGATATGCGTGCAAAGTTTCAGATCATTCGGAGGTGTTTAGGACGGGTTTTAGATCAAATGCAAGTTTCGGAAGTTTTAGTTTAACTTAGGCTTGAATCCGTGGTAATTCGATGATTTTGATGTTAACGATAGTGTTTTGATGATTGGAACAAGTTTGAATAAGGTCTTGGGGTGTGTTGGTGCTATTGGTTGAGGTCCCGGGGGCCTCGGAGTGATTTCGGGTGGTTAAACGGAGAATCTTGATGTTTGTTGCAGGTCTGGTGCACCTGGCTTCTGGTATTTCCGCATCTGCGGAAAAGGAGCCGCAGAAGCGGTTCCGCAGATGCGGCTAAGAGATCGCATAAGCGGTCCATGAGGGACCGGGGTAATTCCGCAAAAACGGACGGGGTATCGCTTCAGCGGGTCCGCATAGGCGAAAATGAGGCCGCAGAAGCGGAATGGTGAGATCCGCAGAAGCGGATGGTTGGGCGCAAAAGCGGAAGGCCAAGGATTTAATGAAAAACCGCATAAGCGGTCATAGGGCCGCAGAAGCGGTCCCGCATAAGCGGTTACGGGACCGCAGAAGCGAAAATTACAGAAGGGTTTTAAAATAATATTTCATCCGCGACCCTTTCATAGTTTTCCTCTATTGTTGACGTTCTTAAGAGCTTTGAACTAAGGAAATTCGAGGGTTTTGACGTGAGAATCACTTGGTAGGTA